CAGCAGGCGCCCCCGTGGGGCCGGCTCCCGCCGGAGGGCCCTGACCCCAAGGCAGAGCCCAGCTCCGGGCCCGAGATGCGGGAGGTGCTGCTGGAAGTGGAGCGGCTGCGAGGGGAGAACCAGCAGCTGAGCAAGGACTACGCCCGCAAGGCCGAGGAGCTGCGGGCCACCTACGAGCGGGAAAACGAGGCCATCCGGCAGGCCATGCAGCAGTCGGTGAGCGAGGCCCTGTGGCAGTGGCAGGAGAAGGAGACCGACCTGCGCAGGAACTTCCAGGTGCAGGAGTCGGCCCTGCAGGCCCAGGTCCGGAAGCTGGAAGGGGACCTGGAGCACCGAGGCCGCAAGATCAGTGACCTGAAGAAGTACGCCCAGAAGCTGAAGGAAAGGATCCAGGTAGAGCAAGATCCCTTCCCACCTGCCCAAGGGGATCATAAACGTAGCCCCTGATTTTGCACACCTACTATGTGTCAGGCACTGTGAGGAGCACTCGACTTCTACCGAAGTGAGCTTTATCATCTCCATTGAGTCCAACCACATGTATTTAGCAAGTATTTATTGAACACCTACTATGTGCCAGGCCAGGGCTATGGGCAGGAGACACGTGGTGAGCTAATGTTGGCCCCTGACTTCAGAGAGCTTAGACTTCCAGTTTACAGATGATAAGACAAGACTGAAATTGAGAGTCTTAAGGGCTGGCCTAGCTGGGCACATATGGCTCATAAGTTTTTGAACTCAGGTCAGCCTAATTCTAGAGACCCTGCTCATTCCATAACAACTTGCCTACCCTAAAATCCTTGGGGCTTTGTATTTGTAGAGAGCCAGACCACTAAATCAGTTATGGGAGCCCCACAGACTTACAGACCCCCGCCCCTACAAGTAGCAGTGGCTGATATTCCTAATACTCCCTGAGCATTTTTTCTGTCCCAGACACTTCATCTCTTTTTAAAAATATATATATTTTATTGATTTTTTACAGAGAGGAAGGGAGAGGGATAGAGAGTTAGAAACATCATTCAGCTGCCTCCCGCACACCCCCTACTGGGGATGTGCCTGCAACCAAGGTACATGCCCTTGACCGGAATCGAAGCTGGGACCCTTCAGTCCACAGGCCGACGCTCTATCCACTGAGCCAAACTGGTTAGGGCCACTTCATCTCTTTTGATCCTCACTACAGAAAGGTTAAGTAACTTGACCAAGGTCACACAGCCAATCAGGATGAGGAGGGATTTGATGAGCCCTGGGCCACTGAATTCCAGAGACTAAGGGCTTCCCCACCATTCAGACCTGATGCTGGTTCTGTGTGCAGAGGGTGTCTCTACCCAGAACTGTAACCAGAGAAATGAGACCATCTGTCTGTTTAGGACCTGGATGTGCAGCTCAAGGAGGCTCGACAGGAGAACTCGGAGTTGAAAAGCACTGCCAAGAAACTTGGGGAGAAGCTGGCCGTGGCCAAAGACAGACTAATACTGCAGGAGTGCCACGGGGCACAGAGAACCGGTGAGACCCTGGAACGATTTCCCTGCAGGGGGAAGGTTAGCCGCCAGGTTGGGAGCGGAGTGGAGGGGCAGGGCAGTTTGATCGGCCCCACCTGGTGGGCCAGTCCGGTCCATGGAGGACACAGGTGAGCCAGCACCTCACGCTGCTGCAGGCCAGACCTCTAAAAGGTATGAATCGAAAGGACCCCTTGCTCCCAAACATTGCCCCACCAGCCCACCACCGTGCCCGCACCTGTCAGCACTGGCTTTGCCCCCACACTTAGACAACACTATACTTTTTAATATTTTCATTTATTGAGGTGATATTGGTTAATAACATACAAATTTCAGTTGTACAACTTCATCAATGCATATGTATACTCTGTTGTGTGCTCAACACCTGAGGTCTAGTTTCCTTCTGTCACCATATATTTGACTATCTTTTCCCTCTTCATCCCCCTTCTCCTCTTCATCCTCCCTCGAACCCCCTACTCCTCTGGTAACCACCACACACATTACCCTTTTAACATTATCTCACACCGTGACTTATTGAGTCTTCCCCGTAATTCTGTGAGCTGGGTGGTGTCAGCATCACATGTTACAGCTGAGGAACTGAGTCTGAGAAAGGGAAAATGGCTAGGTCAGGGCCAGCCAGACTGGTTGGTGCTTGTGTCTAAGAATATGTACAGTGGGGCCTTGACTTACGAGTTTAATTCGTTCCAAGACCGAGCTCGTTAAGGAGCTCGTTAACTCAAATTACTCTATCAACTCAATGCAAAAAGTTGGCCGAGAGACAGCTGGTATCTCAAAAAACTCGTTAGTCGGGACACTCGTAAGTCAAGGCCCCACTGTATCTGATTCCTACCCTGGGCTCCCTCATCAGAAAGTTCTCTAATACCTGCAGTGTGACCAGCTTGGCTGGGAGAGACAACAAAGGCACAGGCAGGGGCTCTGCCTGCAGGGGGCATCGAGGACAGTGACATTCCAGCCCACAGCTTTGGTTTCAGGGGCGTGGCCCAGGCTGGAGGAGGAGGCAGTGTCAGGGAAAGGAGAAACACCGGAGGCCTGGAAAGGTGCAGAGGAGGAGAGGCCCGAGCGGGAACCAGAGGGTGTGTGGAGGGTTTAGAGCAGTGGTCTCTAAAGTGGGGAATGAGTACCTCGGGCAGCGTGGCCACGAAGTTTCAATCGCATTGTACGTGCGCGCCCGCACATGGTATTTTGTGGAAGAGCCACACTCAAGGGGCCAAAGAGCTGCGTGTGGTTCGTAAGCCGCAGTTTGCTGAGCCGCAGTTTGCGGACCACTGACCTAGGGGAATAGGGGAAGAAAATGAGCAGTTTTAGTTATATTTATTTTTTGTCTTATCCTTTAAATTCCTTTTAACTTAAAACCTTTGAATGTACATATGCCCAGGAACATGTTCAGTTTTTTTAACTTTTGAAAAATAATCACAAAAATTAAAGATGAGTAGTTTAAGAAGGGAGAGCAGGACAACTATTTGAATTCAGGGTGCTGCTTGAGCAAAGGTGGCAATCACCACCTAGACCAGTGATGGCGAACCTTTTGAGCTCGGCATGGCAGCATTTTGAAAAACCCTAACTTAACTCTGGTGCCGTGTCACATATAGAAATTTTTTGATATTTGCAACCATAGTAAAACAAAGACTTATATTTTTGATATTTATTTTATATATTTAAATGCCATTTAACAAAGAAAAATCAACCAAAAAAATGAGTTCACGTGTCACCTCTGACACACGTGTCATAGGTTCGCCATCACTGACCTAGACCATGCTTGAGGGTCGGGAGGCCGAGGAGCAGGGATTACATAGGGAGTGGTGAGCAAAAGTGTTGAATAGCAGCATGGGCACTCAATGGCAGAAGGCCTCAAACTCAGACTGAGGTCAAGGCCAAGGGCATTCCAAATGATGATGAATCTTTTGCTCCTAGATGACATGAAGACGGAGCGAATTTCGGAGAATGAGGTCTTAGGGAAAGCGAACGACGTGGAAGCCTGCAGTCCCCGTCCTCAGCAGGATGAGAACCTTCCCAAGGAGCGTCCGTGTACGAAAGGAGGCACAGATACGCAGGTGTGTGTGACCCAGCCCTGGGGGTGGGGACACGGGGCTTTGCTAGAATGAGCTTCAGGTGAGAGCTCAATCCCTAACCACGATGATCAGGAAGCAGCAGGTGGCCATGGCTCTGGGGGTGGGTATTTGGGTCTGGATTCCAGCCAACTTCCCACCAACTTCATGGCGTTTGAAACTAGGAGACTGAGAATGTAGCAGAATTCTCCAAACTCCTTATCATCGACTCCTGGGAAACTGGAAACTTGCTTAGTGTCCCCTCTGTATGTTCCTAGTTCAAACAAAGAAAGCATTCTGTAGGATCCTGTACAGCAGGGTGGGGAACCTTTTTTCTGCCAGGGGCCATTTAGATATTTATAACATCATGCGCAGGCCATACAAAATTATCAGCTTAAAAATTAGCCTGCTCTACTTGGTCAAACATTTAATTAACTCACCCCTCAGGCCTTGGCAGGGCCAGACCAAATGACTTCTCGGGCCTTATACAGCCCTTGGGCCGATGTTCCCCACCCCTGCTCTATAGTATGGGCCTATCTGATCCTGTGACAATAGATACACTATTATTCCGAAGAGCCCTTTTCCGATGGAGCATAAAGTCAAGTCTCTTACAAATATCAAATATATAGTCTTATAAACTTTATTGCACCCTGTGAAACAGGCTGTAAAACCAGTACATAAACACTGTAAAAGTTGCACAGAAAAGAAATGGTGGTCCCCTGCTCATCACCCCGCTTCGCAGGTTTACGGGGCCCTCTTTTTATAGACCGAGAAAGAGGCGGGTGTGGAGGCGGAACACCTGAAGCAACAGTACGAACAGGACCTTCGTAAACTCAAACAGCAGACAGAGGAGGAGAAGAAGCATCTGAAAGAGCAGCTGGTGCGGCGCCTGGAGGACCTGGTGAAGACGCACAAGGCGGAAATCAAGTCGGTGCGCTCGTCCGCGGAGGCCGACAGGAAGCGGCTGCAGATGGTGAGGTCGCTCTCACGGATGCTCTTCCGTTTCCTCTTCTTTCCCTCCCTCTTTCCTCTTTTATTTCCCCTTTCCTCCCTCAGATGTTTGCTGAGCTCCTGTTGTGTGCGGACCTGAGCTAGTTCTCCGTACAAAGGAGGTTCGGGGTCTTTGGAGGGGATGGGACACCTGTTACCAGGAAACCCCCAGTTGGGCTCGGGCTGCCTGTCGCTGTGTCCAATAACGAAGGCGGGGTTGAATCATATTAGGCGTTTATTGAGAAGGCCAGCCACCCAAGAAGACAGTAGGGCCCTTACAAGCATCAAATCCTGCCTTCCAGCAAGATTCTGGGGACAGGATTATAAAGGGGAAGGGCATGGGGCGAGGAATGCAGGCCTGGGGGTCCGCAGACGTCAGCTATTAAAATTAGTCATCAGGCAATGAGATGATGCTGATGAGATGATGTTTTGACTCCTGGTGGGTCGGCCTGACCATGCTTATGGGTTCTGCTTGCTGAATTCACAGCTCAGTTAATGGCTTCACATAGGCCTTGAAAAGGAAACTTTAAGCCCAGCTAAGTGTGGCTCAGCGGTTGAGCATCAACCCAGGAACCAAGAGGTCATTGGTTCAATTCCTGCTCAGGGCACATGCTCAGGTTGCAGGCTCGATCCCCAGTGGGGGGTATGTGGGAGGCAGCCAGTCAATGAACCTTTCTCATCATTGATGTTTCTATCTCTCTCCCTCTCCCTTCCTCTCTGAATTCAATAAAAATATTTTTTTAAACATGAAGAGGAAACTTTAAGAAAAACATAACCCCCTATTCACATATGTATATGTGTTCTAAGATTTAAAATAATATGATTACTTTGCAGACTAATACAGGTGCTCTATTTATTAGATTATAAGTCCCCCCTATCACACCCTAAGACAGTGGGCCTGGAGCCATTGACATGGGCTAGAATTGTGTCATCTGAGCGTTTAACAGGCAAATTCAACTCCACTCAGCAAAAACTGAGAGAAATAATATGAAGCAAACACTCAGGCCTGGCTGACAGCTGGTCTCAAATCCCAGCCCTGTCACCCTCTAGCTTCATGACCAGAATGGTTATTTAACCTGGGCCCCCTCAGAGAGAAATTCTGCCAGCCTCAGCTTCCTCATGTATAAAACACAATGAAAACAGCACCCCATAGAGTACGAGGGTTAAATGAGGTGATCCGTGTGAAAAAAGCAAAGCACATGCTAGAGCCTGGGGCTGCATAAGCACGGCGTGGGTGCAGGTGCTTCGTGGAGGCCTGGCAGTGTGCGGGATTCTCAGCCTCGGGGTACTGTTCCGACCTCCCAGCAAAGGGGCGGCTTTCTGCTAAGGCGGAACGCAAAGCCTCGTCTCTCCCATTTGCTGGGAAAGCAAATAACCTACGTGAATGTTTTAGGAAAACGGTAAATATTATTGTGAACGTAAGTGGAGCGTTAATTACAGTCATCGCCCTTATCCATGAGGGACACTTCCCAAGACCCCCAGTGGATGCCTGAGACCGTGGATAGTACCGAACCCTATATACACTATGTTTCTTCCTGTGCACACATACCTAAGATAAGATTTAATGTATAAATTAGACCTGGTAGAGATGAACAACAATAACTAATAATAAAACAGAACAATTTAACAATATATTGTAATAAAAGTTACGTGGATGGCTCTGGGGCCATTATTAGGTACAATAAGGGGGACTCGAACACAAGCACGTGATAGCACGGCGTGGATCTGATGACCCAGGCGGCTGCTAAGTGACGGATGGGCGGGGAGCTTGTGCAGTGTGGAGACGCTGGACAAAGGGATGAGTCACGTCCCAGCAGAACAGAGTGAGATGGTGCAGGATTTCATCCCACTCCTCAGAATGGGACATGATTTAAAACATGAATGGTTTTATTGCTGGAATTTTTTTTTTCTAATTTGAAGTCATGTAGTGTGATACCTCCAGCTTCGTTGTTTATTTTAATCCTCACCCGAGGATATTTCCCCTTGATTTTTAGAGAGAGTGGAAGAAAGAGAGAAAGAGAGATATCGATGTGAGAGAAACACATCGCTTGGTTGCCTCCTGCACACGCCCTGACCAGGGCCTGAGGAGCCTGGGAGCCTGCAACTGAGGTACATGCCCTTGACCGGAATCGAACCCAGAACCCTTCAGTCTGGAGGCTGATGCTCTATCCACTAAGCCAAACCGGCTAGGGCAAAGAGTCTTTTTTTTTTTTCAATCCTCACCCAAGGATATTTTTTCATTGATTTTTAGGGAGAGTGGAAGAGAGAGGAAAGACAGAGAGAAACATTGATGTGAGAGAAACACATCGATTGGTTACCTCCTATACGAGCCCCAACCAGGGCCTGGGCCAGGAAGGAACCTGCATCCAAGGTACATGCCCTTGACCGGAATCAACCCACGACCCTTTGGTCCACAGGCCGACGCTCTATCCACTGAACCAAACTGGCTAGGGCACTGGAATTTGTCATGTGATATTTTTGGACTGTGGTTGACCGTGGGTGACCGAAACCATGGAAAGCGAAAGTGCAGATAACGGGGGACAACTGTATTACAAGAAAGCCTCTTTATAACCCCAGAGCCTACACCATCAACTTCAGTTTTCCCTGAAAGATGATCATATGTCACAGGAATGCCGTGTTGTGTGACAGTTAAGAGTAGTAGGTGCTCAGTACATATGTGTTGGATAAATAAATGAACTCATGAAAGGCCCAGACTAGTCCTGGGTCCAAGTCCTGACTCTCCCACTCGCTGTATGACCATGGACAGGCCATTAACCTCTCTGAAACCTGATTTTGAAATAAGGCTTCATACTTCGAAGGCTTGTTATGTGGATTAAATGTGGTATTATGTCTAAACTCTTAGCTCAGCGCACGGCATGTAGTAAAAGTTCAATAAACAGTGGCTATGGTTAGTTACCATGTGCACTATGTGACATCATGTCTGATCTATATATATAAAAGCCAAGCAACCGGAATGACCGGTTACTATGACTTGCGCTGCGGCCCCAACCACCCGTGGCCCCTCCCCCTTGTCCCCGCTGCCCAATCAGCCCTTATCAGGGCAGGCCAATCAGACCCCACTGGCCGGCCAACCTCCTGAGTCCCCTACCCCCTGTCGGCCCTGCTCAATCGGCCCTTGTCAGGGCAGGCCAGCCAGACCCCACCCGTGCATGGATTCGTGTACTGGGCCTCTAGTAATATTATAAAGCACTAAATTCTTGTTAACACACTTAATCCTCCCAACAATATTACAAAATGAGTGTTCATATGCCCATTTTAGAGGTGAGAAAACTGAGGCTTAATACAGACAGTGAGTGATAGAGGTAGTATTAAAACCTGGCACACCAGTGTGGCTCAGTGATTGAGAGTCAACCCATGAACCAAGGGTCATGGTTTGATTTCCAGTCAGGGCATATGCCTGGGTTGCAGGCTCCATCCCCAGTAGGTAGTAGGGGGCGTGCAGGAGGCAACCCATCAATGATTCTCTCTCATCATTGATGTTTTGATCTCCCTCTCCTTTCCTCTCTCTGAAATCAATAAAAACATTTTTCTTAAAAAACACAAAAAAACCCTGGCAGCCTGACTCCAGAGCCCATGCTTTCCCACTCCTGTGCTGGGTAGGAAACAACTGTTTTGAAAGCATTTTTCTCCCCATAAGCTGTGACTGTTCTCACAAATCCAGTTCTCAGACTCAAAATTGTTCCATCCTAAGCCACAGTCAGTGGGAGGGACAGTAGCTCTGGGAGCTGCAGGTTGCCCTGGTAACCCATCAGCCAAGCCTGACTCCGAGTGTAGAAATCCCACTTCAGCTTTAATCAGGGGTCATGAGTCTATTTGGGAAATGAATCATGTAGAAATAAATTGTATTTCCTCCTGGGTTGGAGGGGGGCCAGTTTTTTTACTTTTTGGTATTTTCTATAAACTGAGGATATACATTGTATAAATTAGGCCATGCAGATTAGGTAAAACCTTGAAGAGGCCCCAAATCTAGGGTTCATGGACTAAAAATAGATGGTGTCTTCCCCTCTAGAGTTAAGAGGGCAGTATTTCTCTGAGGCCTTTGCTGTGGGTGTACTGTGTATTCTGAATTCTACCTTAACCTGAAGAAGACACTGCAGGTGGCTGGAGTTGCCCCCGAAGGACTGCCTGTCTTCCTTGTCCACAGAATTACATCCTATGATCATGTAATCTTGACAGACAGAATAGAGCACACATCCTAGAATAAGCACTTGCCTGCACCGATTCCTAGGGAGAGTGTTACTGAATGCCTTCTGGGCTGTGCTAGGGAACAGTTACTGAATGCCTCCTGGGCTGTGCTAGCTCCTGCTGCATTCCACATCTTGGTTGTATAGCTTAGGATTCCCGGTGGCAAGCGTCACACACCCACCCTGGGCAGTTTAGGCAGAAAAGGAATTTAGTAATGGGTAGTAATGAGTAGTTTTCTCAAAGACCAGGGAACTGAGTAGCTACCCAGCCAGGAATGTCCAAAGGTACTGAGAGACTGGTGAGTACACGCCCCCCCCCCCAGCCCCCAACCTCTGAGCCCAGACCTGCAGTTTTCATTGCTGACACCACCTGTACCGGAACCTGGACATGGCCTGGAGGACCATGCTGTCTTACATAGTAGCTACGAGACACAGGTGGCTGTTTACATCTAAATTCATCACAATTAAATAAAATGTAAAATTCATTGGGACTAGCCACACTGCCAGTGCTCATATGTTTCTAGTGGCTACCATGTTCGATAGTCTATTTTAGACCCATCATCACAGAATTCCAGTGGTCAGTGCTGCTCTCGAATGACCAGTCCTGCCGCCCTGGAAACTGAAGTTGCCAGATCCAGGTGCCTCCCACTTGTATGTATCTCTGGCTTCATTCAAAGTAAAGCAGCTAGAACAGCGGTTCTCAACCTGTGGGTCGCGACCCTTTCACAGGGGTCGCCTAAGACCATCCTGCATATCAGATATTTACATTACGATTCCTAACAGTAGCAACATTACAGTTATGAAGTAGCAACAAAAATAATTTTATGGTTGGGTCACAGCATGAGGAACTGTATTTAAAGGGCCAGAAGGTTGAGAACCACTGAGCTAGCAGAAGAGAAATCTTCCCTAAATGTGAAGTCTGGGAAGGTAGGTCTGGTGTTCTTGGGGTCTGAGGTAGAAGGAGGGCTCTGATGTATCACAAACACCTGGAGGAGAATCAGGTGCTGGGCAGTCAAAAGGAACGACAACCCTCCACTCCATAAAGGGCCAGAAGGTTGAGAACCACTGGGCTAGAAGAAGAGAAATCAGCCCTAAATGTGAAGTCTGGGAAGGTAGGTCTGGTGTTTTCAGGGTCTGAGGTAGAAGGAGGGCTCTGATGTATCCCAAACACCTGGTTCCCTCCTTATCTCAGCTCTGGAGGCAGAGGTTTTCCTGTTTCGCAGATGAGGAACCTGGGAGATTAGGTCATTGAGAGACACATAGCCTGCCTGACTGCGGAGACACTAAGATGTGTCCTCTGTGGCGTAACAGAAGACACACTGCCCAGGCCTTGGAGAGCAGCCGTAGGTCCTCACCTGCCACTATCCACTCCCTGTGTGTTTACCATTTATTGAATGTGTGCCCTGTGCTTTGAGCAGTGCAGAGATAGAGGAATCACGCATGCTTTCAAGGAACTTACCATCTTCCATGCCCTCAAACATGGACTCAAGTCAGTGTGTAAGAAGTGCTGAGTCTGGGGAAACGGACTCACTGTCAGACCTTGGAGAAATCACCCCAAACCTTTCTAGGCCTCTGCTTTCTACTTTTACTAATAATGATAAATTTGAATAATTTTCTTAAAAATTTTTCCCCAACTTTTTATTTCTATCAACTCCAAAAAATACTCTTGGTTGTTTAGAAATATGTTGCTTAATATTGGGACCTTTCCTGTTGCTTTCTAATTCAGTTCCCTTGTGGTCAAAGAATGGACTCTATAATTCCATTCCTTTTCAATTATTCATCTTGTTTATGGCTCAAATATGGTCTGTCTTGATGGATGGTCCTTGTACACTTGAAAAGAATATGGATCTGCTGCTGTTGGGCGGAGTGTTCTATAAGTGCTGATTAGGTTGTGTTGGTTGATAGTCTTGCTCAAGTATTTTACTTCCTCATTAATTTTTCTCTACTTGTTCTGTTGGTTACTGAGAAAGGAGTACTGAAACCTCACATTTAAGTTGTCACATTTGATAGTTCTCCTTAGCTTTTGCTTCATATAAATTCAGACTTATTTATTAGATAAAGATTACTATGTCTTTTGAATGAATTGGCCCTTTAATCATTTGTGAAATACTGCTGTCCTGAAGTCTACTTTGATACAAATATAGTCATTCTATTGTTTTCATAGTCAGTGTTTCATGGTCTGTTTTAATCTTTTTCTTTACTTTTAATCGACCTATATCTTTCTATTCAAAGAGCTTTTATGGTATAGCTGGGTCTTACTCATTTTGACAACCTCTGACTTTTGGAGGTCATTTAGACCCTTTACATTTAATGTGATTATCATTGTCTACCATCTCGCTGTTTTTCCTTTCAGTATTTTATGATTCTCATAAGCTTCTTTGAACCCCTTTGGGAATCAGGCAGGCTCTGTCCAGTCCATGTTTTTGTGCCTTGTGTGGCTAACTCTCCTCATCACCATTTAGGAAGTAGAAGAACAGTTGGAAGAAGTGAAGAAGAAATCAGAAAATGAAATAAAGCAGCTAGAAGACGAGAAAGCGGCCCTAAATGTGAAGCTCCAGAATTCTCTGCTCCAGGTAAGTCTCGAATCAATGCAGGGTGTGGGAGGGGGGTTCTGGGTCCTCGGAGTTAACTGAGGGGCCGGGAATCTCAGGGAGCTGCCCCGACCTTATCACATTCAGCATCCTCGGAAGAAACAAAAGGACTCAGCACAACAAGAAAGCTGTCTCCGGGCATAAATTTAGCCGCAGCTAGCAGAGAGCCTGATTTATGGACGCTTAGCAAAGAGGCACTTAATGTCTCACATGAGAGAAGGAGGCAGGAGGCTGCTGGTGTTGGTTCTGTGGCTAAATGCTACCAAGCTGGTCAAGCTGCGGTGCTGATCGCTCCTTCACCCTGGCTTCGTTATCCCTTCTGTGGGCATTAGACACGCCTGCTGTCGTGGCTCCTTTCCTTTATCAGAAACTAAAAATTATTTTTTATGACTGCATTCCTATAAAGACGAATACAGCCAGGCTGTATTTTTTTTTCTTGTGATTTTGAAAGGAATTAAAATATTTTCATGGCCCCTAAAAATATCGTGGGCCCCGGGCACTGAGCCTGCTGCATCAAATGGAGAAGTCGGCTCCGATTCCTGGTGTCTGTTGCCGCACCCGTAGTGGGTCCAAATTCCAACCAGGAAACGGGAGCAGTGGTGACTGGCCTGCCCACACCAGCAGGCAGCAGGGAGCGATCGCAGCAGCCCAGCGGACTCCTGCTCCCGTGGGTAACACCTGTGCCAGGTGGCCCACCTGGGAAAGCACGGATTCAGCTGCCAGGCCTCCGTGGTGGAGGCAGGCAAGGGTAGGCATTGGATGTAGACCAGATGAACAACAGTTTGCTTCATGGGCCCACCTGCCCAGACCACCCAGAGACCAAGGTCAAAGTTTCAAAGAGCGGTTGCCATGTTACTAAGGAGAAGAGGCTGGAAACAGAGTTCACCCCTGAGCCTGATTAGACAAAAACAAAACTGTGAAGAGGGTTCCTTCCTTCCCCTGCCCTCCCTCACACCCTCCAGACGAGCCCTGCACCTGCCACCCCACAGGAGCCCGTGAAATTGGTTCCTCAGCCCAGGCCGTGGATCACAGCCTCCCGGGGGAGCTTTGAAGAATCCAGAGCCATGTCCAAAATTATAACAATGTTTAGGGTACATGTAATGGAGTTCAGTTCAGAGACACACGTGAGGAGGATGCAGCCAGGCTTGAGCAGTGATTAGTTCTAGAAGGGAGAAAGGCTGATGGGCAGGAGAAACACGGGGCTACCTCTGTATTTGTGATGTGTTGTTCCTGCAGTCGAGTGAGGAGTACACACTCTTTCTCTGACCTTTTTCTTTTTAAAAAAATATGTTTTTATTGTATTTTTAGAGAGAGAGGAAGGGAGAGGGAAGGGAGAGAGAGAGAAAAACATGGATGAGAGAGGAACATCAATCGGCTGCCCTCTCCTAGGGATCGAGTCCACAACCTAGGCACATGCCCTGACCAGGAATTGAACCGGTGACCAACTAAGCCACACCACCCGGGCTCCAATCTTTTTTCTATCTCACAAATTGGCATATTTTAAAAAAGATGAGCAGGCCATGACTTGGTATGTCAGGGGCTCTAGAGGTGAGGTCTTGGTGGAAAGTCTCTGCTATAGAGATTTCTGTTCCATCTCAGCCCAAGGTGGGCTGCCCAGCAAAGAGGCCCATTTCTCACTCTTCCTTTCTCCTCCTTTTCTCCCTTCCTCACTCCTTTCCTTCCTCTCCGCCCTCCTCCCTCCCTGTTGACCTATACTGCCATCTTCATATGGGACCTGGACCACCCGCCCTGCAGAGCTCGGGAGGGCTTCACATATGTGTGTGGGACCAGCCCCTTCTGCTTCTGACTTGGACACCTGGACCATCACCTGCCTGTTTCTCTGAATGCCCCTAAGGACCTCTCTGTTTACAATAACAGTGGTGAACCTGTGTTAAGCACCTACTCAGTTAAGATACTGTCTAAGCCAGGGGTCCTCAAACTACGGCCCGCGGGCCACATGCAAATACAAATATTGTATTTGTTCCCGTTTTGTTTTTTTACTTCAAAATAAGATATGTGCAGTGTGCATAGGAATTTGTTCATAGTTTTTTTTAAAACTATAGTCCGGCCCTCCAACGGTCTGAGGGACATTGAACTGGCCCCCTGTTTAAAAAGTTTGAGGACCCCTGGTCTAAGCAGTTTACACTACTAACTTGTACTAATAAACCTTACAACCATTGTACTATTAGTATCTCTGGTTTAAAAATGAGAAAACTGAGGGACAGAGAAGGTAAATCACTTCCTCAGAGTCACACAGGTAACAAAGTAGTGGATCTGGGATTCATCCCGGGTGATGGGGCTCTAGAGACCCCTCTGTGGACCACTGTGCTAATACTCCCTCTGGTGTAGCATGTGGCCTCTGTGATGACCGAGCATCATTCAGAACCTGAGTGTTTACTGGGCATGGCCCGGAGATTGCCCATGGACAGAGTGCCTCAGGCCACTCTTCAACCTCCATTTCTTCTGCCACCTTAATGGTGTCATCATCCACCCACCTACAAAAGCCAGGAATGGAAGGATCACCCTTGACCACATCCACTCTCCTGCTCTGCTATCCTCAGCCTGAGTCCCCACCCTGCCCCACCATCACATCCAGTCAGGTTATCAAGTCCTATGGGTTCTTCCACGAAAGCCCCTGGGTCCTCTCCCCGCTCTACACCAATGCCTTGGTCAAGACCCTCAGACTGGCTCGCCCAGGCTCCATTTTCTTTACCTGCTTGTAAACAAATCTCACAGAGCTCACTTAAATATTTCATAAGCCTTCGCAAGATGCAGTGTAAGTGGTTTCATAGCCTTTAAATATCCCTTCCCCAAATATTCATTATGTAAAGCCGAGAAGACATTCTGATGGCCTTGCAGTTCTTCTGGGATGGTCTCCAGAGTCTCCTGAGAGCCTGCCCTGTATGGCCCGCCTCCCCATTTTGCCAGGTCAGCTGATTCCAGAACTAGTGCTCCAAAACCCTAGCCCGCTCAAGGTCTACTCCTCTTTCCCTAAAATCATTTTTTAAAAATAGAGGCCCAGTGCATGAAATTTGTGCACTCGAGGGGGGGAGGTCCCTTAGCCCGGCCTGCGCCCTCTTGCAATCCAAGAGCCCTCAGGGGATGTCCAGGAGCCCCAGGGGGAGTGGGCCTAAGCCGTCAGGTGGACATCCCTGAGGGGTCCTTAGCACTGCTGTGGAGGCAGGAGAGGCTCCCGCCACTGCTGCTGCGCTCGCCAGCTGTGAGCCTGGCTTCTGGCTGAGCACACTGACCACCAGGGGGCAGCTCCTGCATTGAGCATCTGCCCCCTGGTGGTCAGTGCACGTCATAGTGACCAGTCGTTCCACCGTTTGGTCAATTTGCATATTAGTAGGATATGTTTTTATTGATTTCAGAGAGAGAGAGAGAGAGAGAGAGAGAGAGAGAGAGATGTCAATGTTGAGAGAGAAACACCGATTGGCTGCCTCCTGCATGCCCCCACTGGGGATTGAGCCCACAATGGGGAATCGAACCACGACCTCCTGATTCATGGGTCGACTCTCAATCACTGAGCCACACCAGCCAGGCCCCTAAAATCTTTAATTCCCATGTTTTTCACAGTTCAGACCCAACCTAACTTACCATCACTATCCCCCAGGACTCTGCCCCCTCCTGTCTACTTCTTCGTACGAGGCCTTCTGACATGGAACCTTCCTTCAGTCCTCACACACATCCTACCCACCCTCTACCCCTACACCTGCGATCTTTGCTGCTCGGAATGCCTTTTCTCACCCTTGCCACTGACGGACTCCTATTCATCCTTCACTGCCCCCAAGGCTGCCCTGGACTCCCCCGGACAGAGTGTATTGTTGTAAGTTCTTGGTAATAGTACCCAGTAGTACCTACCTCATAGTAGTTGTGAAGATTAGAAGAGCTGATACTGTAAAGTGCTTAGGTCCTGGCCTGGCACAGAGCCAACATGCCATTCATGGTACTGTTGTTATTTTGTACGTGTGCTGTGATTAGAATCATGTATCTGCCTTTGCCGTAGACGACAGCTTCCCGATGGCAGAGATGATATTTTTTTACCACTTTGCTCTCACTCACTCCCTTCCTCTCCCCTCCGCGTACCCAGCACGGTGCCTGAGGAGTCTTCTGCTTTCTGTGAAGACTTGTTCGCGGTGTCTGAGCTTCCTTTATGGTTATTGGCCTCATTCCTTTCAAAGTCTGAGGCAGGGACGCCAGCCTGTTAAACTGACACTTGACAATTAGTTGGTGGATGATAATTATCGTAATTAAGGCTTTATAATGTAATAGCACCTTCCAGCAACTCTTCTCTCAATTTATCTGTATAATTATTACATATTGTTCCTTTTCTTTACCAATTAACTTAAAAAAAAAAAGAAAAGAAATCGTGGGAAATGGTGTGGAAGCCAATGAAAAGCAGCTCCAGTATAGCCAGGCGCATGTAAGTCCTGTGAGGGGGGTGTGGACTCCTGCAAACCTGCAGGCTCGGCTTCTTCTGGGACCGCTACACAGCCAGCTGGTTAGAAATGGCCTTTCTGGCGCAGCCGCTGTGGCTCAGTGGTTGAGCATCCACCTAGGAACCAAGAGGTCCTGGTTCGATTCCCAGTCAGAGCACATGTCCGGGTTTCGGGCTCAATCTCTCCCTCTCCCTTCCGCCCTGAAATCAATAAAAACATTTTTTTTAAAAAAGAAATGGCCTTTCCGGAAGCATATTTGAACTAGTCTAATGGGGCGCTGTCCCCAGAACTGATGGACCCAGGAGAAGGAACTCCCAGATAAAGGGCCACATCCAGGAGACGGGTGTCATTGCCAAGCATTTCTGTTCCTCTCTTTTAGGTGTTAAGGCTGGAAGAATTCATCCAACAGAATAAGGGATGTCCCCGAAGAGGCGAGGACGGGCCCCGGGAACCGGACTACCCGCCCCGCGGCGACTTGGAGACCCAGGTGAGCCCCGGCGCCTTCGGCTTTAATTAAGGCTGTCTCTCCGTGTCAGCCCTCCAGCGTCCCCGGTGGCACATGCTGGCATTAATGGGCTTTCTTATTGTCCCCCTCAGAGCTGCCAAAACGCCTGGAAAAAAATAAATCACTACAAAATCCTTCTGTAAAAGCCAGGAACAAAACAGTCCTAAGCAGTTCTCCACGGGGTGTGGAAAGAGCAGGCTTGTCAGGTGACTCTTCTCTCCGCTGAGAGCAGCCTGCCCGGCAGAGAGAGGGGCCCTGGGCCCAGGGGGGCCTTTGGTTCTGCTCAGCACGAAGCCTAAGAGTCATAACAACGCCCAGGCCACCTCCCTCCACCTCCCTGCTATCAGCTGCTCCCATGCTAGCTCACTCGCTGCCCTTTTAGGGATGCTGCTCCGGGGCAGAAACCGGTGCCTGTGAGTGTCTCTGTTCGGCTCTGGTGGCTGTATACCCTTCCTGGTTTGTCACCATGAACCATCACACACTTGGTGGCTTAGAGCACAGAAACGTGTTGTCTCACACTTTGAGGCCAGAAGCCCGAAATCAAGGCGTCGGCAGGGCTGGTTCCTCCTGGGGCGCCTCTCCCAGCTCGTCCGCACGCAGGGAGCTCAGTTTCCAGAGGGGAACACAGACCCCTGGGCTACTCAGGCTGCGGGCAACCTCATGAATTTCAGGTCCATGCGGCTCAACTTAGCATCGCGCTGTTCGTTCCTTCCACAGTCAGTTGTGGAGTCCTAGGCGGGCACCTCCGAGCAGACGGTACAGGGAAGAAATACGCATACACAGACGCGTTAACACGATGTGGACATTCAGTGATAGAGTTAACCTCCGGCGCTGTGTTTTCTATTAGGCCACTAGGACACACTTTGCAGGTGTCGTTTGTTCTTTCAAATAGGTAATGCATTCTGTACCTGGTGCAGGGTTCAGGTGTGCCAGGTGTGCAGCGAAAAGCACGCCCCTCCCCCTAGCTCCCTGTCTACTTGTTTTGCTTTTTTAAAATTTCTTCTTTACTTTAATTTCTCCTTGCAGGGCTATGCCGTGCATATGCAGGCATTTTTTCCCCACAAATGGTAGGATACTCTCCTGCACTCTGCTTTTTCTAACCCCTTCAGTCCGCAGGCCGACGCTCTATCCACTGAGCCAAACCGATCAGGGCATTTGTTTTGCTTTTTTAAAATTTCTTCTTTAATTTCTCCTTGCAGGGCTATACCGTGCATATGCAGGCATTTTTTCCACAAATGGTAGGATACTCTCCTGCACTCTGCTTTTTCTAACTTACACTTTTATAGCTTCAAGGTTGTAACCCATCAGTACACTTCCATATCAAATATCAACTTTATGGTTTTCTTTAAGAAAAACAACTGTCTGGTGTTCCCTTGAACAGAAAAACCACAGTATATTTAACCCTCCCTTATGCTGGATATTTAGGCCATCCTAGTTTTTCTCTGTTATAGACAATAAATACTTCAGTGGTAATAGATAGTACAGAACTGTGGAGGGGTATCGTGCTGTGCGGTAGTTAAGCGAGCTCACCCCCGAACCAGGCACCTGTGTTCTTACTGGCAGGGGAACCTTGGACACGTGTTTTGAAGGCCACTTCGTCTGTGAGATGGGCGGATGCTCCGCCTGCCTCGGGGTTTTGTGAGGACTAAGTGAATTAACATGCTGCAGTGTTGGAGGCAGCACCTACCCCCGAAAATGTTCAGCAGGTGCTAATTCTTTCCATTGTAGCACTTGCTGGGTCCGAGGCACGTGGGTGTCTTTCTTTGTCAATTAGAGCTGACATTCAGCACTACCTTATGTTACTTCCAGGGGTGGTGCGTGCATTTTTAACTTCGATAGGCCTGCCACACTGCCTTCTGGCGTGCTGTGGCCCCACAACCTTGCCAACACTGAGCTACAAAACTTTCTGAGCTTGGCCAATCAGAGGATGTTTGTAATTTCTTCAAATATTGGTGACAAGCCCGGCCGGTGTGGCTCAGTGGTTGAGCGTTCATCCATGAATCAGGAGGTCACAGTTTGATTCCCCATCAGGGCACATGCCCAGGTTGCGGGATTGATCCCCAATAGGGGGTGTGCAGGAGGCAGCCGGTCAGTGATTCTCACCATTGATGTTTCTAACTCTCTCTCCCTCTCCTTTCCTCTCTTAAATCAATAAAAAAAATATTTTAAAAAAATTATTGGTGGCAAGCCGATATGCCAGCCCAGTGAGCCGAAGCTTTGCTTGAGGCCTGGAAATACAAAGTCCTAGAGAATTTCCCAGGGTCACTCACCAGATGATGTGTGAGCAGCCCAACCCCGGGCATCACAAGGGGCAGGTCAGTCTGAAAGGAGGAGGCTGAGAGGGGTTTGAACAACCCATGCTGATCTGGGGGTGGAATCAGGGACATCCGAACAGGGTGTAAAAGGACAGCTTCCCGGTGACATCCTTGCCGGATCGGGCGCTACAACATTAAAGCTTCCTCAAGACTCGGGAGTTTGTGTTTAGGCCTTTAGCTGTTCTGCCACCGCATTTCCGTGAGTCAGAAAGGATTTAACTAATGACGCCAACCGAGAGCAGACTTTTCACTGGCTCTCAGCACACGCTGCCGAGGGCAGGCTGCCAAGCCTGGGTGTGTCTCCGTCCCACCAGCGTTAGCGGCGACGTCCCTGAGCCTTCTGCCCTGGTCTCTGCTGTCTCATCTCCTTGATTCTCTCGGGGTCATCGTTTTATTCGCTGGTTCCCAGAAAGCCAGTCCAGCCTTGGTAACTCCGAAGGGAAACTTTTTCCTGGAAGACTCCCCTGGTGCCTGGTCGCACAGAACTCGGGGCAAAGGAGGTGGACGTTCTCATAGATCCCCCTGCTTGCCCCTGCTCCAGAGAAAAAGGGGAGACGCTTGTGCTAATGATCATTCAAGCCATTTCACTTGGGCACGGATGTGAGCGGTCACTCTGCGAAGCAGGGGCTGGATACCGGGGGAATGAGGCCTGGGCCTGGGCCTTGGAGAGCCCCATGTCAAGTGGGGGAGTGGGTGTCCTTAATAACCGGTGTGATACATGCTTCATACTGACGGGAAGATGCTGTGTGGAGAGGGAGGTTCTGCCCAGGGAACCCAGGGGCCTCACAGTGACATTGCTGCCACCTGCCTGGACACTGAGGTGGCACGGGACTTCCCCAGGAAGGGACATGGCAGGGGAGGACACAGTGAAAGGTCCCGAGGCGAAAACCCTGAGGCCAGTGGGAAGGGAGCCAAGGGCTTGCCCAAGCTCCCCCAGGCCTGAGAAGCGTCCCCTGCTCACGGGGGCCATATGAATCGAGGGCGTCTGTGTCCTGGGGGTCAGCAGACAAATGATCACTGAGCCCTTAACCACGGACACCCTGAGTGTCCCTAGACCACAAAGGGCTGCTACCCTCCATCTGGTGTGGGCTGAGGGGTCCGGTCCCATCCAACATGGAACACGGTGGGCTGCCCTGGAGATGCATTCCTTGGGGAGATTCCAGGCTAGAGCCCAGGAAGGCAGCACAGGGAGGGCCACAGCTCCGCTCGAAGGGTTAGGACATGGATCCCACCCCAGCTTTACCCCACACCTGTGTGGGGACCTCGGGTCCAAACACCTGTCTGAGAGCAGTTTCCCCTGTACCCCGGTGGCATCACACATAAGGCCCTGACAGTGAGCCAGGCCCACAGTGCTTCACCCAAACCCCACAGCAGTCCTATCAGGCAAGTGTTATCATTACCCTTGTTTCACATAGAGGGAAACTGAGGCACCAAGAGCAGCACCAGGGCCCGTGCTGTATGCCATGTCGCTATACTACTTCCCGTTAGGAAAGTGGCGGTGATAGTCCCCGCCCTCCACACCCCACAGACGTGTGATGACAAACTGAAGAAAGCACACGAAGGCACTTCTCAAAACTCTTAAACATTCTATAAATGGAAGTGACTTTATAGCATCTATTACAGTCCCTGTAATCACTCAGCCAAACCCCAGTGCATTAGGTGTTCTATTTTCAGATGTACGTAATGCACCTTTGAAAGGTGGTCAGCTGGCCTTGAGAATGACTTTGAATACCCCCTTCCAGGGGATTTCCTGGGTGTGGGCGTCCCTTTAAAATAGAAGCAATCTGGAAGAGGTGAACTGCCTGGAAGATGAAAGACCAAGACCCACCGTGAACACAGGTTGAAAATAGCCGGCCGTTTGCTCAGGAGGAGTAGGGAGGAGGCTTTTGCAGTGGGTGGCTGGAGCAGAAGCAGCACTCTTTATTTTTCTGTGCACAATCAATACCCAGGTCACTTTACCACAAGAGAGAGCGCTGAGCTGAACCTGAGAAAATGCCTGGGGGTGGGGGAGGCTGGTACCCAAGAGTGCGGATTAGGTTGTGAGTAACTCAGGAGACACTCAGGGTTGGCCCTGGGGGGAGCTCCCTGGGAGGGTCCCAAGCAAATAACCAGAAAAGGAGCTGCTAGACGGACTGTTCCATTTGGAATTCAGAGCAGAGTGCACATTTGAAATAAGGATTGATGGGCTTGGAAGCCTCCTTTTAGCCAACTCTTGATCTCCACGGTCAAGTCCATTTGTAAAGCATTTACTTATTTATTTATATATTTTTAAATATATATATTATTGATTTCAGAGTGGCAGGGATAGAGAGATGGAAACATCAATGATGAGAGGATATTTGATTGGCTGACTCCTGCACGCCCCCTACTGGGGATTGAGCCCACAACCCGGGCATGTGCCCTTGACTGGAATTGAACCTGGGACCCTTCAGTCTGCAGGCCGATGCTCTATCCACTGAGCCAAACCGACTAGGGCCATTGGGAAATATTTAAATAGCACCCAGCTCTTTTTAAATGATGTACTTTGCCCTGGCCGGTGTTGCTCAGTGGATAGAGCATAGGCCTGTGGACTGAAGGGTCCCGGGTTCGATTCCAGTCAAGGGCATGTACCTTGGTTGCGGGCACATCCCCAGTTGGGGGGTGTGCAGGAGGCAGCTGATCGATGTTTCTTTCTCATCGATGTTTCTAACTCTCTATCCCTCTCCCTTCCTCTCTGTAAAAAATCAATAAAATGTATATTAAATGATGTACTTTGGTCCAAAATGCCAGGTAAACAATGTGTAGGAGAGAGAGGAGGGGGATGTTTTTGTCATTTATATGGCCTGTTGGTCCCCCGCACTGAACCAAAAGTTTGTTAAAATAAAGAACTGTTTTGTATTCATCTTTATCCTTCCTGCACCTCACACGCCTGCCTGTGGCTGATGTTTAGCACTTCCTCATACACATAAGCTGATTCTTGACGTGACAGCTGCACATGTAGACGGAGTCGCCACTTTGAGTCCTGGTGGCTGAAGGTTAGAGGAGGAGCTCCTTCAGAAGTGTGCTTTGGCTGGAGGAGGACTGAGAAGAACACTGGGGTCCTTAGTTACTTCGGGGGGAGGGGGTTCGTCTCCTTTGAGAAGAATGCCCCGTCTCTGGTGTCCTGGCGGCTGGAAACAAGTGAATAGAAACGGGATTCCTGAGTCCACCTCCCCGGTGAGGTGGGAAACAGCCTTCATCTCCCAGCTTGGCTTTGAGTGTCTGTTGTGGACATGCTTCTCAGCAGCAGGTTTGTAACAACACGGCTTGAAATCACACCCAGTGAGGCCTTGATTCTGGCAGCAGGCGATCCTGCCGGCACGGTGTGAGAATTAAATAAAAGTCACCAGACATCAAATACTGGGAAGTAAAAGTCATCAGACCTATCCAATACTAGAAGATTTTCCTTCTGTTCTCAGTGTACTGCCTCTCAGATCCCAACCCACCCTGCAGCGCCTGTCCTGCGGTCATGATCTGGACTCTTGAAGCATTGCTCCTTTGCAAAGAGCACAGTGTTAAGCTTTGCCAGGAGAGGGCGCTGGAGGCACCTTTCAGGAGGAAGGAGGCTTCTCTTTCTGGTTCTGGCAGCTAGGTTTTGCTTTGTTTCTGGCTTCTGCTGCACAGTTGTGCAGTGATGTGTGGACATCAGGTTATATTCTGCCTCCGTGACCTCATGGTGACCTCAAAGTCCTGGCCCAAACACAATGACTACCTTCCGGGCGTCTCTGATGACAACACACCTTCCAGCCCTCACGCCTGCATGGGTGCCCGTGCTCTCTGAGCACCACCCACGGGGGGCTCACCTGTTCTGTGGAGGCTTCTTCCCGCTTCACCAGTAACTATGGACGAGCTCTGGCTCACACAACCCAGAGACGGACTCCACCAGCGAGCTGCCGCCATCAGCTTCTCCAACAAGTTCTTTTGCAAAGCTTTGTTTCCATCTCTCCATTCCTTTTTCACTGGGGATGGAGTTCTGTGAGTCTTGCAGCAAGAGGAGGAACAATCAGAGAGTTTGAATGGTGGGAGCCTTTGCTGCCTTATTCAAGGAACTCACCCCAGAGGACTGAGCCTCCCCCTGGGAGGAGGAGTAAGACCGTGTCTCCACATTTGCTGGGGATCAGCAGGGCCAGGCGCTGAGGCATTCAGTCAGCTGCCTCAGGCTCCAGGATGGCTCTGTCCCCTCAGGTGGAAATCCCGTTTCTCACTGTTCCCAGAGGTTGCATGAGGGAGTAGACACCGCAGCCCATGGCTACCATCCTGCCTCCACCATGTCCTGCTCCACCACCCCCTGTCTCCCTAGCCCATCTCCCTATCGTCAGGCAGGTCACTTCACCTTCCTGAGCCCGTGTCCTCCTCTGTAAAAAGAAAAGGAGAGGAGGAGGGGATGATGATTCCTGCATCTTTTCTGTGTGACCTTGGAAACGCGGATTTATCTCTTCTAGCCTCAGTTTCTCGTTTCAAAATGTATGAATTGGAACTCTCTGTTGCCAAAAAAAGAGGAAGAAACTCTATTGGTGTCCAATTGCTGCTGTCACAAATGACCACAAACTGGGTGGCTTAACACAACACAGCTCTTACCCTACGTTGGAAACGCGGATTTATCTCTTCTAGCCTCAGTTTCTTGTTTCAAAATGTATGAATTGGAACTCTCTATTGCCAAAAAAAGAGAGAAACTTTATTGGTGTCCTATTGCTGCTGTAACAAATGACCACAAACTGGGTGTCTTAACACAACACAGCTCTTATCTTACAGTTCTGGAGGTCAGAAGTCCTAACATCAGGTGCTGGTAGGGCTGTTTTCCTGAGTGTTAACTTTGAAGGCATCTGGTCAGTGTCTGTCTGTTTCTTTCTCTTGTTCTCTCTCTTCCTGCCTTCTAACACCCAATTCCCAATGACCGGTCCAGCTTGGACCAGGGGTGCCCTCTAGTCCCATCAGCTGTGGACCAGGGTTGGGTTCACATGGTCCAGGATGGCTGCTGTGGCCAGGCCTTTGCTGCCATCCCAGGCAGGTCGGAGAGGAGACTGGTAAGCCTCCGCCCAGGGAGTGGTGAGTGCTCTGCCGGTCCCAGCTCGGAGGAGGAACTTGGCAGAGGGGACAGGTCGGCCCTGCTGTGCCCAATTTCATGCTTCCTTCCTCCCACTTTCCCCCACAGGCCACCGAAGAGCTCTTGGAAAAGGAATCCGGCCACGGCCTCCAGATCCAGCAGCAGGCACTCCGGCTGGAGCGCCAGGCCTCAGAGGAGAAGGTCCAAGAGGTCCAGGGGGAGCAGGCGAGGATGCAGGCTCAGCAGGCTCTGCTGCTAGGTATACACCAGCCACACCCCTAAGGGCTCCGCATGGGGAGCCAGGGCAGTGGGTTTTTTTGGGCGGGGGCAGGAGGCCCACAGGCCAGGGCCACTCTCCTGGCTCTTGCCAACAGCTAGTTGTGAGACCTGGGGACCTGGGGTGGGTCGCTCTCAGCCTCATCTTCCCTTTTCATAAAATGGAGTTACAATTGCCCTACCTCATAGGATTGTAATGTGGATTTGGGGCGGGGGCAGGAGGCCCACAGGCCAGGGCCACTCTCCTGGCTCTTGCCAACAGCTAGTTGTGAGACCTGGGGACCTGGGGTGGGTCGCTCTCAGCCTCATCTTCCCTTTTCATAAAATGGAGTTACAATTGCCCTACCTTATAGGGTTGTAATGTGGATTTGGTGAGATATTAAATATAAAACACCTAACACATAGCATGAGCCCAGTGAATGATCATTATCATTATTATTGAACATATCTGGCCTTTCTGGGATTGCCTCAACCTCTCATTCCATTCTGAAGATTTCTGCAAGTTTGGGGAGCTGAGGCCTTCACTGTCTGTGTGAGACACACCTGACCTGCAGTGTAGGTCAGTGTGCGAGGGCTGAGAGGGTGAGTGATACACTGGGGTGGGGACCCAGACATGCTGGATAGATGTGTGGATGGATGGATGAGTGGATCTATAGATGGATGCGTGGGGGATAGATGGACAGACGGATGGGCAGGTGGGCAGATAGATGGATAAGTGGGTTTGTAGATGGATGGATGGACAGATGGGTGGATGGATAAGTGGATGGTTGGGTGAGTGGTGGGAGAAGAGGGGAGAGTAATGAATACACTGCAGTTCATGCTTTGCTAAAGGGTTTTATTGCCATTTTGTGATAATGGATTTCAAAAAATGGGGCAGTGTCTGGATTTTTTTTTTTTAAAGAAAAGAAGCTAGAGAAGTTGCTTTATTAAAATTCTATTGGGGAGAAAACATGACCAAGTAAATTTTTCAGCATAATGTCATCAGAACATATTAAGCTCTTCTATGTGTTTAATATACTATACCATTGAGAGAAGCTTAGTAGGCATATGGGAAACCTTTCACAACTAATACACTTTCACAGTATCATTGATTTTCACTCTAAATATCATTCGTTTATTTTACAAATATATGTTGAGCACTTGCTATGTACTGAGGCCCATGCCGGGTGCTTATCTTATAGCTTATGGAATTATTGGAACAATATTTCAAAAGTCACTTGCAATAACTAAAATATAGTCTCAAAAGTTCATAACAGAAAAGTATTAAATTTGCTAGTCCTTAAATATTATCTTCTTTTTAAAAAAATAAATAGGTCACTGAATAGCGTGTACTCTATCAGAAAATAGTCATTTTGAAAGGATTGCTTTCTTTGACTTTCAATCACAGCAGCGCACCCCTAGAAATCAGCACCATCCTCAGGGGAGAAATGTGAGTTTCTGGCTGTACCTGCCCTGAGTTGAGGAGGGTATGTCTGTTTCTTCGGATGATTCTGGTTTTACTTGGTTCTGTTGGGATAACATGCCAGCTCCTGCCCCCACATTCCAGCCAAGACCTCACACCCAGGGGAAGGGGAACCCGTGAATGTTCTGTCCCCTTAAGAGTTGGCATAAATGTCAAAATTTCAGACTTGGAGACCTGCAACCCCAGAAGAGGCCCTGGTCATTGATAATTCCCTGTTCTCCTCTCGGTCTGTGGACTTGGTGCTGAGGCCCAGTGTTGCCTCAGGGTTCAGCGCTGGTTCAGGCTGTCCCACCCGAACCCGCCACCTTCCTAACACCCGGCGTGTCTCCGAGGTGGTGCAGAGGGAAGAAGAACCACTGGACACGTGGAATCCTGACTCCACAACTTCCTAGCTGTGTGGCTCTGGGCTCCTCGCTCAACCTCTCTGAGGCCCAGGTTCCACACCATGAAAAGGGGAGGGGTAGTACCGATAGGATGGTTGTAGGGCTTCTGTGAACAGTTCGCCGGGGTTTAGCACCGCAAATGGAACTCTTGTTACTGTCATCTTGAAATAAGTTTGGAGAACTTGACCCAAAGCCTTCAGCAGCACCTACCCCAGGACAGACGTCAGCCTCTCTGTGCGCCTGACCTTTGCTGAGTGCACCTGCCCTTCACTGACCTTCACTGCACACACCTGACCTTCACTGCTCTTCCTTTGCAGAGTCCCTGAGGCAGGAGCTGTGGGAGCAGAAGGCCGCCTGCTCTGAGCACCAGAAGGACTTGGAGGCGTTGCAGGCTGAGCTGAAGGCTCTGGGCAGCTCTGACAGGCGGCAGCCCATCACCCCGTGTGCAGGGGACAGCGAGGGCCACGCCAACACCACCGAGGTCAGCGCCCTGGCCAACCCACCCCACTCCTCTCCAAGCGGTGAAGGCTACCGCCAACTCCCAAAGGAGAGGCCCGGGTGCTTGTCTGAAATGGGGAGGACCCTTCTCCTCCTGCTAGGGGGTCCCTGGCGAGCCTGCACACTCCCCTCTTCGTAAAGCAAAACACAGGTTTCAAGTTCTACATGTTGTTTTTAATTCAGACACAGCAGCCTCTCAGGGTGCTGGTACCAGGCAGAGCTTAAAGGTGGCCAGTCCTCGCCCACCCTCCCAACCCCTACTCCCCGTTCAGGTCTGCAGGGGGATGTCTCTGAGCTCCTCTGCCCGTCTAGACCTCCCTGTTCCCATGGTGGGAGCAGCCTTGTCACCCCAGCTCAGGACCCACTCTCCATGAGCTTCCTGGTCAGACATGGCCCATTGGCCCATTGGCCCCTGCGCCCCTGCTTGCACATCCATGATTCCCACCGAGCTGGGTAGCACAGTGACCTCCTAAGAGCCCAGACCTCTCTCCCAGGCCTGCTTCAGGCATTCATAAAGTGCATTTGTATGTCGCCCTCAGTGGCGCCCTACTGCTATTGAGGCTGGAGACTGGGAGGAGCACATCTGGGCCATGTCCGCCTTTGCGCCTCCTGAAAACCTCCTCCTGCTAGGGGGTCCCTGGCGAGCCTGCACACTCCCCTCTTTGTAAAGCAAAACACAGGTTTCAAGTTCTACATGTTGTTTTTAATTCAGACACAGCAGCCTCTCAGGGTGCTGGTACCAAGCAGAGCTTAAAGGTGGCCAGTCCGCGCCCACCCCCCCAACCCCCACTCCCCGTTCAGGTCTGCAGGGGGATGTCTCTGAGCTCCTCTCCCCATCTAGACCTCCCTGTTCCCATGGTGGGAGCAGCCTTGTCACCCCAGCTCAGGGCCCACTCTCCATGAGCTTCCTGGTCAGACATGGCCCATTGGCCCATTGGCCCATTGGCCCCTGCTTGCACATGCACAGTGACCTCCTAAAAGCCCAGACCTCTCTCCCCAGTCCTGCTTCAGGCATTCATAAAGTGCATTTGTATGTCGCCCTCAGTGGCGCCCTACTGCTGTTGAGGCTGGAGGCTGGGAGGAGCACATTTGGGCCATGTCCGCCTTTGCGCCTCCTGAAAACATCTCTCCTGGCTACCTTCTCCCCAGGGTGGGGGCGGCCCAGGCCCCGCAGGCTCCCCGAAGGGCACCACTGAGCAGACTCCCAGCGAGGGGTGCCTCCTCTGGGAGAACTCCCAGCTCAAGGACAAGGTGCGGCAGCTGCAGGCCGAGGTGGAACAGCACCAGCAGGAGGCGCTGCAGCTCCGCGACCAGCACAGGTCTGTCTGCGGGCCTCTGGGCTACCCTCACTCCCTTCCCTCCCTCCACTGCCGCTTGGGGAGCCTGGGATCCCCCCACAGCACCTTCCCAAAGAAAATACTTCCTAATCCGCTAGCACTTCACTGACATTACTCCCTTGATGCAGGGATTAGCCCTGAAATAGAGGCAGGAACTCAGTTTCTCTATAAATCAGGGAATTTATGGAATCAGACCTAACGATACCAAAAGTATCCTCAAAACCAGCCTTAGGGAGACAGTGCTGTGTGCCCTTAACTAGCTGTGTTTGGGCGAGTCAGCTAACCTCTCCAAGACTGTCTTCTTCTGTGGTGGAGATGGCACCACCTTGCAGGACTGCTGCAGACGGCAGGGAACTGTATGCGAGAGGCCCCTGGCATGGGGGAGCACTCGGTAACCTGTGGCATTACCATTACCTAATCCAGATTGGATAGCTCATTATCAGTCCTGAATTCACAGCCCTCCCCTCTCCCCCACTTCTTGGAAAGTTCATGAGTTCAATTTTAACTTCATTAATAGCTATAGGACTTTTCAGGCTATCTGTTTCTTCTTGAGGGAGCTTTGTCAGTTCATATTTTCCAAGGATTTTGTCCATTTTATCTCAGTTGTTCAAGTGAAAGTAGTTGTGCAAGTGAAACACTCATCTAAGAACAGATATGGGCCCGCCTGGCCAACGTGAGACACCTCGATTTCAGCTAGGGACTCACCACGTGACACTGAATAAGGAGGTGGGAGCAGGGTAAGGACTCCTCACCATTTTGGGGGACAGACCCCTCCAGTTCAGAAAACAATGGTCCCTCCCCTGGGAAAAGAATGTAATCACACAAAAATATGCACCTACTTTCTGAGGGAGACACACCCCTGAGGCTTGTCTGTAGGCCCCTTAGGGGCCCCACACTTAGGTTAAAGCAAAGTGATGGCTGATGGCTGGACACCTGCTTTGGGCTACAGACTGTTCTGGACATGTATGGACAGGGTCATTCTTGCACTGGCCCTGTGGGTAGCCACAGTTGTCACCTCCACTTAACAGATGAAGACACTGAGCCGGGCATACCTTGCCCAAGGTCACACAGCTAGGAAGTGATGGAGGAGGCGGCAGACGGACATGGCCCCACACTTAGGTTAAAGCAAAGTGATGGCTGATGGCTAGACACCTGCTTTGGGCTACAGACTGTTCTGGAAATGTATGGACAGGGTCATTCTTGCACTGGCCCTGTAGGTAGCCACAGTTGTCACCTCCACTTAACAGATGAAGACACTGAGCCGGGCATACCTTGCCCAAGGTCACACAGCTAGGAAGTGATGGAGGAGGCGGCAGACGGACATGGCACCCCGGCTCTACACGCTGCTCTCCTGACCCCACCCAGCCTGCCTTTCCACCTGGACTGGGCATCTCCGAGGTCTCAGAGTCCAACTCTCAGTTATTCTGACACAGAATCTCTGCATCCAGGCCTCCCCACCTGCCCCGAGTGGAGGGAATGCTTCCCAGGGCTCCCCTCCAGAGCTGCCTCCTACTCCTGCCCCCTGTAGGCTGTTCTTCATGGAACGAGGAGGTTTTTCCCTCATGGAATGCTGGGGTGGGGAGTGCTGAGAAGGGGCTCCACCAGAGAGAAGGGGCTTACCCTGGACCCCACACCTCACACACCCCAGGCTTCCTTCCCACGGTGTCCTGACCTCAGATGCATAACCTACCTGGACCCATCGTCTCCAAACCTGGCCACCCAGCAGAAGGGGGAGAAAACCCCAGTGCCCAAAAGGGGGGTCCCTAGAGCTGGGTCAGCCCAGTTGTGCTTCCATCCACTGCAGGCAGCTGGAGGAGGACCAGCAAGCCCAGCAGGCCCAGGAGGTGGAGATGCTACGCCAGGAACATCGGAAGGAGATGCAGGCTATGGTGGCCGACTTCAGCAGCGTTCAAGCCCGGCTTCAGGCCCAGCTGGCTGCCCTGGAAACCGAGTAAGTGAGTCCTCGGCCACAAGTTAGGGGGAGAAGAGTAGAGGTACCATTTTTATGAGGGGACTCTCCCAGTTTTAAAACTAGAAATCCTGAGTCCCAGGAAGTACCTCAGCCCCGGAGGAACGGGGATGGTTGGCCACCTGTCACGTTATGACACTGCAGTCCCCCTTCGTGCAGGGCCCTGGGAATCTGTGAGGAGTAAGACTGCCTCATGGGCTTGGTTTGGCCCTCACACTGGGAAGAAAGCAGAAGGATCAAGGCTACCTTTCTTATTAGCATTGGCCCTCTTCCAACACAGTCCTGCAAGGTGGAAATTATTATTCCTATGGACAGACTAGAGGCCTGGTGCATGGACTCGTGCACGGGTGGGGTCCTTCAGCCTAGCCTGCACCCTCTCGCAATCTGGGACCCCTCAGGGATGTCGGACTGCTGGGGATTGGGCTGAAACCAGGAGTCCGACATCCCCCGAGGGATGTAGCAGTGTCGAAGCGGCAGGCGGCTGGGGAGGAGCCCGAGCCGGGGCCAGGTGCCCCACCGCTCCCGCTCATCCTGGCCCCGCTGCGCCTGCCGCCGCTGCTCGGTAGCACTGTGGGAGCACACTGACCACCAGGGGGCAGCTCCTGCATTGAGCATCTGCCCCCTGGTAGTCAGTGCACGTCATAGTGACCAGTCATTCTGGTTGTTCCAGTTGACCAGTTGTAAGGGTCGCTTAGGCTTTTATATATATAGACTAGAGGCCCAGTGCACAAAATTCGTGCATGGGTTGGGGGTCCCTCAGCCCAGCCTGCACCCTCTCACAATCCGGGACCCCTAGCAGGGTGTCCGACAGCCCTCTCACAACTGGCTTCTAACCGCTCACCTGCCTGCCTGCTTAATTGCCCCTAACCACTCGCTTGCCTGTCTAATCGCCCCTAACTACTCTGCCTGCCTGCATGATCGCCCCAACCACCTCTGGCTGCCTGCTTGATGTCTCCTAATCGCTCACCTGCCTGCCTGACCACCCCTAACTGCTCGCCTGCCTGCCTGATCGCCCCTAACCACTCTGCCTGCCTGCCTCATTGCCCCTAACCACTCTGCCTGCCTGCCTCATTGCCCCTAACCACTCTGCCTGCCTGCCTGATCACCCCTAACCACCTCTGCCTCAGCCCCCGCCGCCATAGCTTTGTCTGGAAGGGTGTCTGGAATGACATCTGGAAGATTGTTTGGCTGTCTGGTCTAATTAGCATATTATGCTTTTATTATTATAGATAATACAAAAGGCATTACCCTAACTGCTTGCCTGCCTGCCTGATCGCCCCAACCACCTCTGTCTGCCTGCTTGACCTCCCCTAACCACTTACCTGCCTGCCTGATCTTCCCTAACCACACTGCCTGCCTGCCTGATCACCCCTAACCACTTGCCTGCCTGCCTGCCTGCTTAATTGCCCCTAACCACTCACTTACCTGTCTGATCGCCCTTAACCACTCTGCCTGCCTGATCGCCTCTAACCACTCTGCCTGCCTGCCTAATTGCCCCTAACCACTTGCCTGCCTGATCACCCCTAACCACCTCTGCCTCAACCCCTGCCGCCATAGCTTTGTCCGGAAGGGTGTCTGGAATGATGTTCGGAAGATTGTTTGGCTGTCCAGTCTAATTAGCATATTATGCTTTTATTATTATAGATCAGTGATTCCCAAAGTGGGCGCTACCGCCCCCCGGTGGGCGCTGCAGCGATCCAGGGGGGCGGTGATGGCCACAGGTGCATTTGGGGGCGATGAGTAACTGCTATTAAAATTT